AAGATAGGATGCTTTCACTCATTGCCTAGCCCTCTACCAACTGAACCACACCCTAACTCCTCTTCTCTTCTTTATATACATAATTCCTGGGCCCCACTTTGCTCTTTAGCAAGGATAGAGCTCAAGTAGTATTTCCATTAAAAGGCTAAGCCCCTGGCAAAAATCATAAGACTTGGTTTAAAAAATAAACTAAATCAAAAAGGTCTGGGGAAGCCAGGCACTGGTGGCTCAGGCCTGTAATCCTAGCTATTCAGGAGGCTGAGATCTGAGGATTGTAGCTCAAAGCTAGCCCAGGCAGGGAAGTCTGTGAGACTCTTAACTCCAGTTAGTAACCAGAAAACCAGAAGTGATGCTGTGGCTCAAAGTGGTTGAATACTAGCCTTGAGCAAAAAGAGCTCAGAGATAGCACCCAGGCCCTGGGTTCAAACCCCGTGACCAAAAAAAATTAGGTCTGGGGGTAAGGCTCAAGTGATAGAACAGGCAAACATAATTCCCTCAGTTCAAAATGCCAGTGCCATGAAATAATAATAGTAAATCAATACAATATTCTGAGCAGCCTAATGTAAAAGCAGAAAGTATGTGAGGCAGGTTGGGTGGATGAGGAGTAAAGGAGGAAAAAGAGTTAATGCCCAAATCTACATCACAACTGTACTATACTAATGATTATTAAATATGGGTTCAAAGATCATTGTGTTCCCACTTTAATAGTTTCTCGAAGTACTCCAGGAACATTTCCTATTTCTGGACCTTTGTTCTATCAACTACAAAAAAAGGGGGCTGGAAAGATTCCTCTAAGGACTCTTTGAAAGTCAGAGAGGCTCAGATTTTATAAAGGTCATCAGAGTTGTGAGTTAAAAGCAGACCATGCACAGCACTGAGATGACTAAATTTGGGGTCACAGTGCCAAAGACCCTACAGAGAAGAGGTATTTTCAGATTTTTAGGTCACTTAGCTACATTGCTTCAATCTCTTGCATCTTCAATTTATTTAACTTTTGCTTTGATATTTTACCTTGTGCTGTTCCGTAATGCTGGAAAGACCTTCTAAATCTTATGGACCTTTTCGATGCCCTTGATCAACTGAAACCATCAAACGCAACCTTGTCAAGAACTTACCTCTACATCCAGCTTCCTCATGGCCACAGAGCGCTCCAGATCACAAGAACATTTTATCCTCCTCTCTGGGACTCAATTGGCCCATTCTTAATATGAGGAGGAAGTTTACAGTAGTCTCAAATGTACTTCCTGTTCTACACAAGTGGAACGTTGTATGATTAGGGAAATGACAAGAGCTGAAGTACACTGGGTTCTTCCTGATGCTGGTACATGATGATCTATCCCAGGTGACTGACTGGAAGACAACCTTCATGTCCAGTTTTAGGCAGGGAAGATGACGGGGCTCAAGTTTTGCATAGGCTGACCAGTGGCAGGTCTACTTTTGTACCTCAAGGGTGTTGATGGAGTCTCAGATGTGAGCAGGGTGCTCTTTGCTTCAGTTAGGAGACAGGGTCTTGATGTATGCTTCCTTGTTGAAATTCTGGTATGAAAGGATCCTGGTAGGATGTGGGGAATGTTTCTGATGCTAGATATTTGCTGTGAAATGAAGCGACTCAAATGACATTTTAGGTGACCTTGACTGTGTCAGTGAAACCCAAATGCATAGTGAGTACTCTGCCTCTGATTCTCTCCTTACCACCAAAGTTTTCCACATAGTCAGATAAGCGCTTAAAAACTGGGTGCTAGTGGTCACGCCTGTAATCCTAGCTACTCAGGAGGCTGAGATCTGAGGATGGTAGTTCGAAGCCAAGCTGGGCAGGAAAGTCTATGAGATACTTGTCTTCAAGTAACCAGCAAAAAAGTGGAAGTAATGCTGTGGCTCAAGTGGTAGAGTACTAGCCTGAGTGATAACAGACAGGCCCAGGACAAGTTTAAGTCCCAATATTGGGGTGGGTATACACACACACACACACACACACACACACACACACACAGAGTACTACAAGGTTGTTAGAAGGCCTATAACATGTCATATGCTCTGGCAGTTTCTTACATAGATGGTGTTACTGACATTCAAGAGAGCTGAGAACTTGTCTCTACTACATGCCAGTTGGAAGTAGAACTTAGGACTGCAAGAAGGCAAGAGCATTGTATTTTTTCGGACTCCAGAAAGGAATTAGAAAACAAAGGTTACCTGGAAGGAATGGGAAGGTGGATAACTGAACAAGGATGAAAAGAATACTCACCTCATGGAGGCTAGGAAAAGAGAGAACAAAAGGCTGGGCCCCAATATTTCCTTCAAGGGCATTCTCCCAATAACCTATCTTCCTTCCAATTGTCTCCACCTCTTAAGATTCCACCATCCTCTTAGTACAACCTACCGACCAGGCCTTCTGCATATGGGCCTTTGGGAACCAAAATCCAAACACGATCACCGGGATTATTATGAGTTTTAATAAACCCTTTTCACTTAGTTATTTCCTTTGTCAACTTCTTTTCTAGAATTTTCAGTCTGTCTCTTCTGACTCCTGAATATAAAATAAAAGGAGTATAAAGAAAAATATAGCATGTCCACAAATGGAAAACAAAACAATTATTCACTTAGATCTTTAGGAAAGCCAATGGACACAATGCCTCTGCTCCAATATTCTCTACCCTCCTACTGCCCCATACCTTGTTCCATGTTCATTTTAGTTTTGGCATGCTAATGAGATCTTTCTAAAACTATGACACAGATACAGGACACGATTACTCATTGTACTCATTTATTATTAGGACAAGTTGTACTTTTCCTGATAGCTTCCTTGAACTTGGCTTCTGCCTCACTGGATCATAAGCTGTAGTTACTGCTTTGTAAGGCTTAGGGCTGATGGATTTTCTGATTATTTGCATTTTTAGGCCATGTCTTTCCTTCTTATCTCAGTTGGAATTATAGTTTGGCCATGTACTTCCTTTGCATCCTGTCTCGATATGTTTATGTGTTCATTGATGTTGGAAAGTACAATGGTTCAACATTTCCATGGAAAATTTTTTCTTCCATTAAGAAAATAATGAATTGGGCATGATGGCTAATATCTGAAATCCAGCTATTGAGGAGATGGAGGTAGGGGGATCATGCTTCAAGGTCATCTGGGAAAAGAGTTTACAAGACTTCGTGACCAAATTCAACCAATAAAAAGCTGGTTGTGGTGGCATACACTTGTCATCCCAGCCACACAGAAAGTGTAAACAAGAGTACTGCACTCTGGAGCTGGGAATGTGGCTTAGTGATAGAGTGCCTGCCTAGCATGCATGAAGCCCTGGGTTCAATTCCTCAGTGTTAAATACACAGAAAAGGCTGGAAGTGGCACTGTGGCTCAAGTAGTAGAGTGTTAGCAGTGAGCAAAAGAAGTTCAAGGACAGTGCCCAGGCCCTGAGTTCAAGCCCCAGGACTGGCAGAGAGAGAGAGAGAGAGAGAGAGAGAGAGAGGGAGAGAGAGAAGAGTACTTCACTCTAGGATGGTCTTGGAAATCAGGGTGAGTCCATATTTGAAAAATAATGAAATCAAAAAGGTCTACAGGTATAACTCAAGTAGTAAAGCATATGTGTGTATATGTATATACACATACAGGCATGCATACATATATGTATACATATGTATACTATGTACATATAGTCCTTCAGGTAGCTTTCATGACAAAAATTCAGTAGTTTTGAAACCAACATTCATTGTATTCCAAAACAGTCATTTTTACTTCCTATCACCATTCATACATGTTAAATGTCTCTTGTCTTTTAAAGCAATGCAGCAGGAAGAGCCTCAGATCTCATTCTACTACACATGTAGACTTACAGACAACAATGCTGCTATTCCCCATCCCCTAGTTGTCAATTACCTCAACTACATTCGCGTCTCTCATCAGTGTTACTAGAATCAACTAAACATACAAGAAAATGGCAATTTCTTGCTTGTATTAGTATATAATATTGAAGTATGTGGAAAGTCACAGACACTTCTATGCTCATGGACCTCATTTTTATTCTTTTTTTTTTTTAATGTTTTCTTAGCAATGCTAAGGATCAAACCCAGGACCTCAGGAATGCTAGGTAAGTGTTCTAACTTTGAGCTACCACATCAGCCTCTCCATTTATTCTTGACTTTTTTGCTCTCTCTGTATTTTTATTTATTTATTTACTTATTTATTTATTTTTGTTAGTCATGGGGCTTCAACTCTAGGCTTGGGCGCTGTCCCTGAGCTCTTCAGCTCAAGGCGAGTGCTCTACCACTTGAGCCACAGCGCCACTTTCAGTTTTCTAGTGGTTTATTTGAGATAAGAGTCTCACGGACTTTCCTGCCTGGGCTGGCTTTGAACTGTGATCCTTAGATCTCAGCCTCTTGAGTAGCTAGGATTACAAGCATGAGCCACCAGCACCCAGCTTGTATTTTATTTTTAAGAAGTTGTACAAAGGAGTATTCAACTCAACAACTCTGATTATAAGTATAATGCATCTTGATCTGTGTCACAGCTTCCATTCTCTTCCTCACCCCAATATTTCCCAATCCCAGCTCCCAGCTCTATTTATTTTAGATTTTTTTTCTTGGTTTCTTAAGTTGCATTCTCTGTGTCTTTCTACCTTCTTGATTGCTGCTCTTTGAATATATCTGCAGCTGATTTTTGAAGCAATCACAAATACAAGATTATACCTATTTGCTGCATGATGGAATCATGGAAGGAGTCCTACTCTTGGACTTGTTCAGGCTGTGGTTACTCTTGTAATATGGAACAAGATCTTTTCTCATTCCAGACTTTTGGAAATTTAAATGAATGATCTCAAAAATATCGCTTAACATTTTTGGGGGCTAGGGGCATTCAGAAAAGGCCTCTAATATTATATTCCTGTACCATGTCCCTGGAATCTTGGCAATGCCTCCTACTGAGCAAGCTGGCATTTACTGGTAATGGCAGTGTCTGTGGTGACTTTAGCCACACCCCTAGCACACCCAGTTGAATAAGATATAAATGGGATGGATACACAACTCAGCTCTCAGCAAAGATCCTTCCCAGCAAGATGAAGTCCACCACTTTCTTCATCATTTCTCTGCTTCTCATTCTGCAGGAGCAAATAGCAGTTGGAATTGGATATCATGGTGAGTGGGGAAAGTCTGTTGGGGGAAAGATAACTAGGGGAGAAAGGTGTCTTGTAAGGGAACTCTAAAAGTGACTAGAACCTTCTTCACTCAGAGCTTCTTATGCTTGGTTAAAAAAAAAAAACACCAAGTCTTCTCCACACATCCCTTATGAGAACATCAGAGAGCCGAAGAAGAACAAGTTGGGTTACAAGTTGCAAAGGGTCATGAGTGGCAAGGGGTCCCTGGAGATGGTATAACTTGGACGTCTTATTGTCGTTTACTAGGCAGTCCTCCAGGCCAGTTGTCAAATGAAATACCTGCATTTTCAAAAAGACCCAGAGGTTCGCGGGGTTTTGGACATCATCGCAGTGTGCATGTTACAGAAGATAGTTCTCTAAGCCAACCTGAACCAAAAGTTGGTGACAGTGATTCTGATACAAAATACACACTTAAAGAAAAAGAAACCATTATCTCCGAGGAACACAGATCTGAAAACAAACCTGACAGCTTTTCTTCCAGTGACAGTCACGAGAATAAGGTAGAAAGTCGTGTACACAGACATTTCCATGAAAGACGCCATAAAACTGAAAAGGAAGATCAAGGCGGCTATGAATTTTCCAAGAAAAGGACCATCCAGTTTCAACATGAACACAATGAATAATACGCCCACTGACCAACTGAATACCTGGACTGATACCAAGGTAAGATTTGTTTTAACCAAATAAGAATGATACTAAATCCAGTGTTTAAAAATAGTACATGAGGACTTCCAGGGCCCATTATGGGATGGATACCCACTGTCCACGTCAGCAGAAGTGCTGTTACAAACTTGGAGAGCATGAGTGCCACTCGCTGGTAAGAAGAGCCCCTGCCAGAGGCCCAAAGCTATCCCTATCACAGAACCCTAAAAGTATATCCCAGTAAGCCTTTTAAGGGGCACTTACCTAACAGTAAATTCTTTTCTGAGCGTACACCTAAGCATATTTCTGAATTTGAAATATAACCATATTCTTTGGAATATTGGAATTTAGTTTCTTGCTTATATTGGTATTTTCTTTCTCACTGGGAGTAATGGGGAAACCCCTATAATCCCAGCTCCTTGGGAGATAGAGGCAGGAGAATCACAAGTTAGAGGCCAACTTGGACAAGTTACTGAGATCATGTCTCAAAAATAAAATAACAACAACAACAAAAAAGGGACTGGGTGCGGCCTCAGTGGTAGGATTCCCAATACCATATATAGATATAAAACATACCATATATATACATATATATTCTTTATCTCGACACCAACAAGTGTGCTTGCTTCTCTGTTGGGGTACATCTATCCTCTTTCAGAGACTGCTGGTCCAAAGTTTAGCTGCCCTTCCTTCAGAATATAAGAAGAAGACAATCACAAATAAAGATCCCTGTGTGTGATGCAGGAGAGATGAAAAGTGGGCACAAGAAGTGTTGAGAAATAACAGGTATAAGAGGGACATTTGCAGTGTCATGACAGAAATGTAAAGCCCAAGGAGAGAAAATGATGTGCCCTGCACATTTGTGCTAATAACACATCGGTTAGAGGAGAAGTAAGCAACAAAATCAATGGACAAAGGTAGTATTGTCGTTGTCAGTGGCTGGTACAGTAGGGAGTGTGCCTCCGATCCCCACATCGCCCTTCGCTGCCTCACTTCTCAACTTGCCCTCTGCCTCCCCAGGAGTCACCTAACCTGAGTGAAGACTGTGATGTGTTCCAGATGAAGACTTCCACGTGGTCCCACAGCCTCGGTCCATGGATGACACCTTGTGCTCACACCTGCTTGTCTTGGGGTTTCTAAACCTGGAGATTCTTCAAACACCTGCTTTCAAATAAAAAGATCACTTTCTGCATCATTTACTCTCGACTACTGAGGTCTTATTTCCTTGAAGTTTAGGGAATGGGGGAGGGGATATTTCCAAAATGAAAGGAAGGAATATTCTCAGAGAATTATGGAGATTTGCTAATCAAATTCTAGACTTCTGGCTAGACAGTCCATACGAACAAACAGGATAAGGGGATTCTGCCAGTCACTAGACTCAACTATAAAAGCCCCTCAGAACCCTTTTCCTTGGGAGATTTCAGAAACTGACAGCCTCCCAGAATTATCAGAGATGATATGTCCTGTGAGGCTCTGCAGAACCCTGACCTACTGGTGTCTTCCCATAAGGCCCCACTGCAAACCCCAATCAACTCGTGCCTTCAGTTCTACCAGTCCATAGTAGCTCCTCTCTGGTGTGGGCAAGAATTCTGCTCCCCTACAGATTCCTATTAATGGAAAGATCCCATGTTCAGTCTGTACCACTGCACTGAGAGGAAATGGTTCATCAGTGTCATCTGTGGAGAGACAGAGGATGAACCATAAGGGCTGGGCAGAGGAATCTTTTTTTTTTTTTTGGTCCTGTTGTGGGGCCTGAACTCTGGGCCTGGGTGCTGTCCCTCAGCTCTTCAGCTCAAGGCTAGCGCTCTACCACTTAAGCCACAGCGCCACCTCCGGCTTTTTTCTTTTTGCTTATGTGGTGCTGAGGAATCGAACCCAGGGCTTCAGGCATGCAAGGCAAGCGCTCTACCACTGAGCCACCTTCCCAGCCCTGGGCAGAGGAATCTTTATGATGAAAACTTTGCTACTGAAACATTCTTCTTTCCAGTATGCAAGTAAGATGCCCAGGTATGACAATCCTCAAACAAGCATAAACCAAAATAAAGGAATCAAAAACCCCTCACCCCATGAATATGGGGTTTCCAATTCTATCTCCATCATGGACACGAGATTATCTTCAATGAAACCAGATTTCCTCTGAGATCTTTATACATGGAAAACTTGATGCAGTAAAGTTGAACCTCAGTTCATACATATTGGATGAATGGAAGTTAGGCTATCACACTTGGGAGTCTACACGCCGGAAGTGGACTGACAGAAATACTTAGTCAAGAGCATGCTTGATTCTTGTGGAAAGGGAAAAATTGTTCTCAGTGTGATCAAGTGACAACAGATCTTCTCAGTTACCACACGCCCAGGGGCATAGCAACCCTGACTCAGTCCCAGGAGATATAGGCACCTGTTCATGTACAGAGAACATGTCCGCCATTGCTATGGGTCACTAGAGTTTGGCCATCATCTTTGTGCATTCAGCTAATAGACATGGAAATGCAGAGTACACTGAGTTTGAATTAGAATGAAATTAGCCCTTTGCAGTTCTTGATATTTCTGGGACCTCGGTCCATATTTCCTTCCAATTTATCCCTTTGGATTGAGCATGACTATCCTACCTTTATTGCACAATTGTCTCCTGGAAATACACAACTTTTATACATTCAGAGTTCACAGATGGAGAAGAATTTTGTCCAGGATTGGATATATCATGAATATGATATGATGTGGGTGTGGCAACTTCTTGTGCCTACAATCCTCGCTGAAGGCTGAGATCAAGAAAATCCCAGTTCAAGACCCAACCAGCCAAAAAAGTCTACAAGACCCCATCGCCACCAACAACTTGTGTGGTGGCCTGTGCCTCAACCCAACAACATACGGTAGGAACCGTGAAGTAAAAGTATCATGGACTATGCAAACCCAGGAAAACACTGAGACCCTATCTTAAAAGTAACCAGAGCTGGGCTGGGAAGGTGGCTCAGTGGTAGAGCGCTTGCCTTGCATGCATGAGGCCCTGGGTTCGATTCCTCAGCACCACATAAGCAGAAAAAAAAAAAAAGCTGGAAGTGGCACTGTGGCTCAAGTGGCAGAGCACTAGCCTTGAGCTGAAGAGCTGAGGGACAGCGCCCAGGCCTAGAGTTCAGGTCCCACGACCAGACCAAAAAAAAAAAGTAACCAGCGCTAAGCCGGACATATAATCCTAGTGCAAGCCTTGAGTACAATAGTTCAGGGACAGCACCCAGACCCTGACTTCAAATCTCAGGAATGGCGCGTGCGCGCGCGCAAACACACACACACACACACACACACACACACACACACGAGCTAAAAGGACCGATGACATGGCTTGAGTGGCTGAGTACCTGCGTCAGACAGGCAAAATCTTGGGTTAAAGTCTCAGTACTGCAAATAAATAAATAAGAAGAGAAATAAATAATATTATAAAATAAAATAAAGGGTTTGTTTTTCATTTTCACACTAGGAGTGAAAATGGTTAAGGAATTTTTGAATAAGCACATTGTACTTCAGGAAGGACGCTAATAGAGACAGAGAAAGCTTCTGGGCTGTCATGGAGTCCTGACTTTCAATCTTCTGTGAGTATTTTCAGTGGTGTGCTTTGACACCTACCTTCCACCACAAGCATGTTGATAAGCTTATTAAATAAGCATTCTAAAGCTTTAACTTTCCACTATTGATTATTTTATTGCTTATGTTATCATGAAGCATGATAGTAGTTCATCTGTCAGGCCCTTGGGTCTGTGAGTTTGTCAGATGCTGGCTTTCTGGTTCCATCTCATTCCTTGTTGTATTTCTTTTTTTTTATTATTGTGAAAATACTGTACAGAGGGGTTACAATTACATGGGCAAGATAATGAGTACATTTCTTATCAAACATTGTAGCCTCCTCCTTTGTTTCCCCTTCCCATGCCTTCCCATCCTCTCCCTACCCCCCACCCAATCCTTCCCGCTACCCCCCCCCCCACCAAAGTTGTAAAGTTCGTTTTCGACATAACGACTTGTACATCTCATTGTTGCAATGGGTCCACCAGTATCCCTATTTAAACGATTTGTTTTTCCCCTTCCCCTCCACAAAGTATACTGACATCAAATACAGTGAAAACAGGGGGAGGGACATACAAAGCAACAAAGAAATAATCTTATAAATGTGTTAGAAACAATCGCATGAAAGAAAAAAAAAACATTTGAGTACATGGTGATTTATATCTTTTTTTGTTTACATTGCTCTACATTGTACTAGAATATAGGTTTTCAAATATTCCCTCATGACCCTCTGAATTTCATTGGTACTTGTAATATCCCCATTTCATCTCTAATTTTATTCTTTCCCCTCCTTCTTTTGGTCAGTTTGACTTAAGCTGAGAAGAATGTGTATTATGCAGCTACTGGAAGAAATAACCTATAGTTCTTTATAAAGTTCTTTTGATCTATGGTGTTCATTGATTCTGCAGGGTTTTTTTTATTGTCGATCTGTTTTGTCTCCAGGACATAGTAGTGAGAGTGGGATATTGTAGTATCCTTATTTTATTGTTTTGGTGTCTATCTATCTATAAATCCAATAGCATTTGTTTAATGAAACTTGATGAACCAGCCTTTGGTGCGTACATGTTAACTATTGCTATCTCTTCCTAATGAATGTTCCCTTTTTTACTATGAAGTGCTTGCTTTTTTTCTGACTGATTTTGGTTTGAAGTCTGTTTTATCTAATGTGACTATAGCTACTCCTGCCTGTGTGGGCGGACCATTGGCTTGAAATATTTTTTTTTCCATTCGCTTACCCTAAGTCCATATTTGTCTTTGTCAGAAAGATGTATTTCTAGTATGCAACAAATGGTTGGGTCTTGGTTATTATTGGTGATGGTGGTACAGAGTTTTGAGTTCAAGGCCTCCTGCTTGCTAGACAAGTACTTGTCTGCTGAGCCACACCTCCAGCCTTGATTCTTACCCAGGCATGTCCTTGGACTTAGGATCCAGAAGTTGTTGAGATGGCCAGGACATGACACTACATCCAGCTTCCTGCTGTTGAGATGGAGTCTTACAGATTTTCCCCAGGCTTGCCTGAAGATATACTTCTCCCAATTTCAGTTTCCCATGTTGTTTTGGATAAGCTGACTTCAAATGTGATACTCCCATTCTCAACCTCTTAAGTAACTAAAATTACAAGGATAAGGCACTAGCACATAATTTTGGGTCCTGCTTTTTAATCTAAACCACTATTCTACATGTTTTGATCGGAGAATTAAGACCATTTATACTGGGCATTAATATTTAAACTCTGGTAGTATTTCCTGTCATTCTGTGATGATTTTGCTTCTTTTCTAATCCTTATTTTCTACCCTACTCATCTAGTGTGACTTATTTTCCCCTATTGTGATTCCTGGTTATGCTTCTGATTCTCATTTGTGTGTACTGTTTCTTTTAAACATATTCTGGAATTCTAGTTTACTGGTCATGAATGCCTTAAGTTTTTGTTTACCTTCAACTATGAAGGAGATAATTTTGTTACATAATCTATATGGACACTTCTTTTTCATGGCCTCATGCTTTTAGAATTTCTGTTGAAAAATCTGTTATTATTCTGATAGATTTGCATTTCTGTGTGACCTATTGCTTCTCTGTTGCAATTTTTTCTTTATTGCATATATTTAATGTTTTTCTGATAGTATGCATAGAAATATTTATTTTCTAATTCCCTATTTGGTGTTCTGAAAGTCTCCTCTCTGATTCTCTCTTTCTTGAGATTAGGGTAATTTTCTTCTATAATTCAATTGAATATAATTTCTAAACTATTAGCTTATATCTCCTCTCCTTCTTCTATATGCATCATTAGTAGGTTTGGTCTTGTGATAGTACTTCCGATTTCTTGAATGTTCTATTTATATTTTCATAGTACTTTTCTCCTGTGTGATATAATCTCTCTACTTTATCTTGATCCCTGATATTTTATTTTCAACTTGTTCCATTCTATTAGTAAGGCTTAAAATTGAGGTTTTAATTTGAGCTAGTGAGCTTTAATTCTAGTATTTCTACTTCATTTTTCTAGGATTTCTGTACCTTTATTGAAATCCTCCTCCTTTACATCCTGTATTGTCTTCCTTGTTTCATTCAGTTGTCAATTTGAGTTCTTTTTTACTTCATTCCACTCTTTATTTTTAGGCTCTTTGATTTCATTAAGGTGTTTACACATTCCTTCTTTAATTTCATTCTCTTATTTGTGTGTGTGCCAATACTAGGGCTTAAACTCAGGGCCTCAAGCTCTTGGCTTTTTCACTTACATCTCCCACTCAAACCATCTCTCCAATCTAGTATTTTTTCAGTTTAAGTAGATGTAAGAGCCTCACAGTCTATTTAGGCTGGTTTTGAACCGTAACTCAGATTCAGCCTCTGGAGTAGTTTAGACAACTGGTTTGAGGTGCCTGCCTCATTGATCATTCTTATCATTGTTCTTTTGAGTTCCTTGTTGGAAATTTATTTTGTTTCACTATAGTTCAAGTCTTTTATTGTGGAATTGTTAACTCTTGGAAAAGATGTGTTGCCTTGTTTGTTTGATTATTTTTCATATTACTTGCCTTTCTATGTTGAACTTAATGTATCTGAGGTCCAAATCATTGGTAGGAAATTCCAATCATGCATATTCTTTCATCTAAAGTAGTGTCAGTGTTCAGGCAGGAGAATGTAGTGGTTTGGTCAAGGAGGTATTTCTCAGCCCTAGCTGGGTAGAGAGCCATGTCTTAGTAATCAAGCCTTAGTCCAGTGCTCAGGGCATTGGATCTAGGACTGGGTTCTAGGCCCAGCATGGCCTAGAATCAGGTAAATTGTTGGAGTCAGTTGCCCTCTTCTAGGTTTCTATTACTATACTATAAAGGTTTATCTTCTTTGTGTAGTGGGAGATGCTTTTTCTGCAGGGATCTTTGTAGTGGTGGGTCAGGCAGCTTCACACTCTTCATATCCCCCAGTTTGGATCTTCAGGGTTAGCAAGCATCCAAACCTCAGGGTGGTCCTAAATGTGATAGAGAATGAGAAGTGAACAGAGCACTGAATTCTTCCCTGGCTTAGAGAGAGCTGAAGGGCCTAGTCACTTTACCTCTTGGTCTCCATGCTTATAGACACCTCTACTCTCCAGCACCTCTCTGTTTGCTGAAGAGGAGGCTGCAGATATTTTGTGATTCAGAATACCTGGATTTGGGTTCTCAGACCTCTCAAGCACACTCATCAAGCTATAGTTTCCAGGGGGTACATTACCGTGTTTCCAAGCCCTGTCAACTACTTACCTCTGTGAAGTATAAAAGGGTATTGATATTGCATGATTTAAAGGGCCTGCGAGCATTGTTCTGACTTACTCAGCCATCAACACTGCCAGAATTCAGAGCTTGGGGACTAAATATTTATCCAGACACAGGCTCAAAGCATCCTGGCCAAATATCAGATGAAAACCCAAAGTACTGCACCCCCCAAAAAAAAACTACATAGAAAGTGAAATTATTAATATCCTCCTGGCCTCTGAATTGATAGAGATAGATAATGTCCTTTTCATAATAGAGCCTTTGTTAGGTATTTGTGGTCATCAATGCTACCATAGACTCCTCTCAGAGTGGGAAATGTAAGCCTTAATCGGAAACATCTAGTATTTTTACATGTCTAAAGTACTTAATGTAAAAAGGGTACAAGATGACAGATTAGAAGCATCATGCTTTTGATTCCATGAATGAGAGTAGTCAAATAGTAGAGTAGGGAAGGGTCTTTTATCCCAAAGAGAAAGAAGAGCATCAGAAACCATGAAAGAAGTAGCCAAATTGCAGAAAAGCTAAAGAAACAGGGGCATGAAATAGAAGCATCAAGCAGCCCCATGCCTCACCCCAGATGTCTGGGAGAGGGAAATAAATCTGAAGACATGATCACAAGGTGATTGATCCAAATGGATCTTGTGATAGACTGGCAGTTCCAACTGCAAAATAAATACCTCTTACAAGCCAGTGCCATGACTGCTTGAGACAGAGACAGCTCTGGTACAGCTCTCTGCATGAAACTTAAGGTAAGAGATCTGTTCAGCAATCACAAGCCAGAGCAGGAGCTCCCGAGCCTATTCCCTCACTGGTACCATTGAGGGAAAAGACAAGCTTCTCATCTGGGAAGATCAGCAAACTCTGTCTTTTGATGTTTGTTCATTGGGGTCTTGTGGGGAGGAGAAGGTCTTTTCTACATTCAACCCTCAAAGACCTTCCCAGCTCCACTAGTCAGGCAAAATTCTGAGACTCATTGTGGAATCAGCCAATTGGTGGAGATTTAGTCTGTTACCCAAGCACAGAACTACTTGAGTAAAGATAGAAGAGTGAGGGCTACTCCACCACTGGAAGAAAGAGGGTAGATTTTCCATGGAAAGCCCCTCAGATGGAGAGAGCAACTGTCTTACTCTGAGTTACCACTCACAGGAAGCAGCCCCATTCAGTGCACAAAACAGCTCTGCCTCAACCTAACCTCTGCAAAGCAGCTTTAACTTACAGAGTTAAGAGTTCCCATTCATTGAAAAAGCTAAGCACTAACTGCTTGGACTTGTGTTCCCAAATGACCTTACCACAGGAGGTCATATCCGTAGCCCCAATGCTGTTGCTATAGCACCTACATCTGACCCATGTGCCCAGACCCCATCTAGCAAGAACTTGTTGCATCCCCATCCTCAGAGGGACTTGCTAGCAAGCCAATCAGGGATGTATCAGAACATAGAGGGATCTTGACCCCTTGATTTTATCTGTATCTTTTGAACATTGGGTCAGACAAAGGCTACGTTCTTTTCTCCAAGAAGGCAAGTTATCAGATCCTTTCCTTACGAGCAAACTTTAAATGGAGCAGTTCCTGGTATTTAATATTTTTTTTAAAGTAGTAGCTGTGCATGCAGGCCTAAGCTGGCTCAGTAAGCAATATTATGTCAGGATGACTTCAATGAAATCTGCTGAGATCTCTCCTGGGAGGATTGATCACTGCTCTTAAGCCAAAGAGATAACCTGGGTAGATTAAAGCAAGGGTCTAGCTTACATGTTTTCTGATAGATGATTTTAAAATCCATTTTATTAAAAAATATGGCTATTCTCTTCCTTCCCTTCCATCTTTCATACAGTACTCCTTACAGCAGATTCGGATTTTAGGACAGAATATACTAAAATCGTGTTTTCAAGCCATCTTCCTTCCCCTCCCCCAGCATGCTCTGAATGCATACCGACACCCTGGGGAGATGCTCTGCCTTTCTCCTACGGGTGCCCACACCAGTCTTCACCAGACAATGTAAAGGAATGTCATATTGGACCCTGGAGAGGATTGTCCCAATAGCAGAAAAGCAAATTTCTACAGAACGGCAAATGCTCACTTTGCATCTTATCTCAATATACTACAAAAAATTCATTGATGGTGATAAATATCCTCACAACCTCTAGGGGCTTGATGCTGCCTTACACTTCCATAAGAATTTTTTTCAAATGAAAAAATATATATACTGCATTCTTCAGGTAGATTTCATGGCAAGAGTGCAAGAAAGAAACTAATCATCTTCTTGTTTTTTCCAACAGTCATTCCTCTCAGCATACAAACACGCTAAATTCCTTCCATTCTTTAAAACATTTTTGCAGCACCTGACCCCCGGGGGTAGCTTTTGACTCGCATTGCATTGTAGGTGCAGACCTACTGAAAAGGCCACTGCTGTTCTACAGCCTCCAGGATAGGAGCGATGACTTCTTTGCTTGTGTTAGTATAAGGAATAGAATAGCTTTGGCTCATGCCATCATTGTTAATGATGAACTTTGCAGAAACTTTTGACATTGATGTACCCCATTTACATTACTTTTTTTTTTCTTAATGATGCTGAAGATTGAGAGGCGGGCCCCATGAATGCTGGGCAAGCCTTCTTCCACTGAGCTAAAGCCTCAGCCTTTCCACTTACCCTTGAACTTTCCTTTTTCTTAAGGCTTAAGAAAGCCTTTTCCTGGCTTTCTTAAATTGCATCCTCATCTGTGTTTACCTCTGTGCTTGTCCTTTTCAGGTAATATAGGTGTACCTCACTCTGATTTTGAAGCAAAAACAAATATAGGGTTATCTCTATGATACAGCATTTACAAAATGACATCATGGAAAGCTCCCAGTACTCAGACAAAGAAAGCTTCAAGTTACTTTTGTAACCCAAAGCAAGTCTCTTCCCTAGTCTGTCCTGAATTTCTTTCTTTTTTTGGGGGGAGGGGGTGGTCTGGTCATGGTCCCTGAACTCTGGGCCTGGGTATGGGAATGTAGGAAACTGACTGATGGTCTCAAAGCACTGATAAAAATCTGTTAGGACTTTTATGGACAGCAAAAGATCTCTATCCTTTGGTCCCTGTACAAAGTCCTTAGGGTACTGGCAATGCCTCCTACTGAGCAGGGAGAGGGAACTGGCATTCACAGATAATTTTTAAAAAGGGCAGTGTCCTTTGTAACTTCAGCCAAGTTCCACCGCATATCGAGTCAAGAAAGGTATAAATGAGGAGCTCAGCTCGGCTTTCAGACAAGGTACTTCCTGACAAGATGAAGTCCACCGTCTTCTTCATCCTGTCCCTGCTCTTCATTCTGCAGAACCAAGCATCTGGGGGTGGATTCCATGGTGAGTGGAGGGTGACATCTAGGGAGAAAGTACTTAGGGGAAAACTCTTCCAAGAGTACTCTAGAAATTAGCAGAATACCCTTAGAGCCACCAGGGGAGTCTTGTCCCTGATAAGATTTGACCTTCCTTCACTGTTACGATAGCTCTTGCATGAACGTAAGTGAGATGTTAAAAAGGTAGGGGGTGACAACTGTCAGGGAACTTAAAGAGATCGTGTAGCTCAGACATTCTCTCATTTCAATTACCAGGTGATGGGCAAAATCCTTTGGAAGGCTTAAAATCCAAATTTCCAAATAGACCAAGAAACCATCGGCATTTTGGCCATCACAAGCGTGTTGCATCTGAAATGGGGTCTGTAAGTGGACGTGAGACAAGTGGAGGTGGTGCTGGGACTGAAATGAAATTTGCAGTTGCTGAAGAATCAGTTTTCGGTACCGAAGACAGAACTCAAAACAGACCCAATGAGGATATAAATGAAAGTCTCGGAGTGAACCGGGGTCACCGCAGGGAACACTTTGAAAGTTTCCATAAACACAAGGAACGAAACAGTGACGGAGGATTTGGATTTTCAAAGAAAAAGACAGTCCACATTCAACACGGACACATGCAGTAATACAGTCACTGGCCAAGTGAAGACCTGGACCAATTTTGAGGTAAGCGTTTTGGTTTTGACCACATTAAGTGTGATATGTACCTCGGTGCTTAGAACTTTGTGGGCCCATCGGGAAATGGATAGCCAGTGCCCACACTAATGGAAGTGCAATGTTACCAACGTTAGGAAGTTGAGCAGCAAATCCTGGTAAGGAGAGCACATGCACATGATAGAGACAGAGAAAGCTACCTGGGCTATCACTGGGTGCTGAATTCCTATCCTAATGATTCGTTTTCTCTTTCTTTCTTTCCTTCTTCCTTCCTTTCTTTCTTTCACTCGTTCTTCCTTTCTTTCTTTCTATTTTTTTGTGTCGGTCTTGGGGTTTGAACTCTGGGTCTGGGCCCTATCCCTGAGCTCTTCAGCTCAAGGTGAACGCTCCACCACTTGAGCCACCGCATCACTTCCGATTTTCTGGTGGTTAATTGGAGATAAGAGTCTCACAGACTTTCCTACCTGGGCTGGCTCTGAACCATGATCCTCAAATCTCAGCCTCCTTTGTAGCTAGGATTACAGGCGTGAGCCACTGGTGCCCAGCCCAGGCTGGCTTTGAACCACCATCCTCAGATCTCAGCCTCCTGAGTCACTAGGATTACAGGTGTGAGCCACCCGTTCCCGGCTCTATCCTGAATGATTCTTTAAAGGGATTTTATTCAGCACAAAGTTACCAGTTGAAAGTATTTTGAGCATCTTCCCTGAATATAAGCATATTTATGCTTCTCATGGCGTCCTGTCGTTCTTACAGTTTTGAATGTTGAAGCTCAATTCCTTGCTCATATTGGTATGAAGTCTTTATTCTCTGTCTTTATACTCAGGAATCCCCGTCTCTTTCAGAGATCACATGTTAAACAATCTTTCCCATCAGAGCTCAGCAAAGAGATGTGATACAGGGGAGACGGAGAGTAGGTGCAAGAGACAGTGATGGTCCCCAGGTACCAGTGGAAAGTTAGCCATATCAAGAGGGAAAGTTAAAGTCCACGGAGGAAAAAAACAAAAAGACATGCCCTGCATGTTTGCAGTAAATAACACATCAATTAAAGGAAACACAAGCAAAAAACCAATGGACAAAGCCAGTATCTTCATTTCCAGTGGCTGGTACATTAGAGGGTAAAATAATAGAGGCCCATCTCCTCTCCCCACCCGTCCCCATTCACTGCCCTCAAGGCTCAGCTTGATTCTCTGCCTCCCTAGGAACCACCTCACCTGAGTGAAGTCTGTGATGTGTTCGAGATGAAGACTTCCATGTGGTCCCACAGCCTTGGTCCATGGATGACACCTTGTACTCCCATTTACTTTCCTTGAGCTTTGGAAAACTGAAGATTCCTCATATACTTGCTTTCAAATAAAAAGATCACTTTCTGCATCATTTGCTTCTGACTCCTGAGACCTTATTTCCTTGAAGTTTAGGGGATAAGGAGATAATTCTTGTGCTAGGTATTTCCAAAATGAAAGGAAAGAGTATTCTCAGAGAATCATGGAGATTGCTGATCAAAGACAAGCTTTCAGAATTCTAGCTAGAACTGCAACATAAAACCAGAGTGCTAGAACTCTGCCACCCACTCACCCTAGATGCTACCTAAGAACTCCATAATGACCTTTCTCCTAGTGGGACTTCAGAAACCAAAAACTTCCCAGAAATGTCAGGGCAATGTGTTTGTTTTTTGTTTTGCATGTTTTAGTTTTTTATTGTTATTGTAAAGGTGAGGTACAGAGAGGTTACCATTATGTAAGTCATGAGTACCTCTCATTTTGGACAATGTCACCCCTTTCTTCACTCTCCCAGTTTTTCCCTTCTGTCCCCAACCACAAGTTGTACAGTTCATTTTTAACATAGTGTCTAGCGAGTACCACTGCTGCACTGGTTCACCCTTTGTCCCTCTACTTCTGTACCTCCTCCTTGCCCTCCCAAAGCAGATAAATGAACAAACAAGACAAAAAGAAAAGAAAACAGAAACAGCAATGAAGAAAAACCTCTTGTTTCCATTTCTTAGAGTTCATTTCAATAAATATTATTTTATATGATCTGATGCACATAAGCATTGCACCTTTGTGCTCCTCTCTTTAGAGTAAGAACAATGCGGTTTAAGAGGCCCCAAGAAAGTCCTTCAATTCCTAGTACCTTCAGTCCCACCAATCTGTGGTAGTTCATCCCTGCACTTGGTTCAAATACTCTGCTTCTTCTACAAGATGCAAATGTCCCTACAAGTAATATATTATGCTTTTTGCTGCTTCAGGAAGAGGGAGTATGTTGAGCCAAGTCATCTGAAAAGATGGATTCAAGAACTAAATACAATAAAGGTTTTATTTGGGAAGGAAGGGTAGTCTTCCAAATGAAACTATCCTGCCTAAACTGTCTTCTTACCTTCTGAGAATGACAGTCCTCCAGGAGTAGAAACCAAATGAAGGAATCAATAAATCGCTTCCCTATTGAAAAGGCTTGTTTCCAGTTCCAGCTCAGTCCCAGGAACAGATATATCTTCAGCAAAATCCATTTTTCCTTCAGGCTGAAGTATCTTGGTCTTCATTTTGTACATACTGAATCAAAGGAAGTAAGGCTGTCACATTTCCAGGAGTCTACAGGCAGAATTGGACTAATAAGTTACTTAGACAAGAACACGTTTGATTCTTACAGAAAGGGAAGAATAATGTTGTGATCAAGTGACAGCAGACCTTCCTCTGTCACCATCAGCCCAGGGCCACAGCCCCCCTAGAAGGTATAGCCATTCCTTCATGTATGGGGAACATGTCCCTCTTTACTATTGGTCCCCAAGGTTTAACCACAGCAAATAGGCATGGAAACACAAAGAATTGTTCTGAGGCTTAAAACAGTACTGAATTGGGGGCTGGGAAGGTAGCTCAGTGGTAGAGCGCATGCCTTGCATGCCAGTGGCCCTGGGTTGGATTCCTCAGCACCACATAAGCAAAAAGAAAAAAGCCAAAAGTGGCGCTGTGGCTCAAGTGGTAGAGCGCTAGCCTGGAGCTGAAGAGCTGAGGGACAGCGCCCAGGCCCAGAGTTCAGGCCCCATGACTGGACCCAAAAAAAAACAGTACTGAATTGGCTCTTTTCAGGCTGGACATTCTTTTTGACATGAGTCCATATTTCCTTCCATTTTCTCCCTTTAGACTGGGCATATGTAGTTTAGTTTTTTTTTGGTTTTTTGTTTGTTTGTTTTTGTCGGTTGTGGGGCCTGAACTCTGGGCCTGGGCACTGTCCCTCAGCTCTTCAGCTCAAGGCTAACACTCTACCACTTGAGCTACAACGCCACTTCCAGCTTTTTTCTGTTTATATGGTGTTGAGGAATTGAACCCAGGGCCTCATGCATGAGAGGCAAGCACTCTACTACTGAGCCAACTTCCTAGCTCCTCTAGTTTAGTTTTATACCATGACTGTGTTCTGAAAATGCATGACTTTTTTGGTCTTCTCTAGACTCTATCATTCTAATCTTTTTCTGTTATCTTCTCTAGCTTACTAATTTGCCAATCTTTTCAGACATGTACCTGTAGGGGATTTTTCTAGTTTGTGCAGACACAAACACCACAAAGTGGTGTTTGTCAGCAATCTATCATCTTCCCAGATACCGCCCCCCCCCCACTCCCTCCTCTCTTGTGCTGGTCCTAGGGCTTGAACTCATGGCCTGGGCACTGTCCTTAAGTCTTTGAGCTTTTGTGCTCAAGGCTAGGTGCTTACCACTTCGAGCCACATTTCTAAATTTCTGGGTTTTTGTTAGTTAATTGGAGATAAGAATCTCATAGGTTTTCACTTCAAACCACATTTCTAAATTTCTGGGTTTTTGTTAGTTAATTGGAGATAAGAATCTCATAGGTTTAGCTGGGCGCTGGTGGCTCACGCCTGTAATCCTAGCTACTCAGGAAGCTGAGATCTGAGGATCGCGGTTCAAAGCCAGCCCGGGCAGGAAAGACCGTGAGACTCCTATCTCCAATAAACCACCAGAAAACCAGAAGTGGCGCTGTAGCTCAAGTGGTAGAGCGCTCGCCTTGAGCTGAAGAGCTGAGGGACAGTGCCCAGGCCAAGAGTTCAAGCCCCACGACCGACAAAAAAAAAAAATCTCATAGGTTTTCCTGCTACGGCTGGTTGTGAACTGACCTCAGCTTCTTGAGTAGCTAGAACTACAGACATGAGCCAGCGGTGCTCAGCTGTCATTTCTATTTTTAATTTTAACAAAGAATTCACATTCATATTGAACTTTGTGAATTTTTTGAGTGCTGGTTTGTTAATTTTACTAGAAGATACAAACTGATTTCTACAGTGGACTATGTATATAATACACAAGAGCACAGGTTGTTTCACAGTTTTTCCAGCATATAGTAATTAACCATTTGACTTTGATCCAGTCTAATGAGTGCTTTCTTGTTTCTCATACTCTTACTCGGTATTCCTCCCTGATGACTGTTCATGTCAAGAACTGTTTTCATGTATTTTGGGGCTATTTCTTTTTTTTTTTTTTTTTTTTTAGCTTTCAAACATCAAAAACTTTTTAATTTTTATTTTATTAGTATCTTAGGCTTGGAATTTTTAGGGTACAGTTTTCTTTACCACTTAGGACCACCAGCTAAATGTTTGTATGAACAGACCGCATCAAAAATACAATAAAGAAGCCAGGTGATAATGGCTCATACCTGTAATTCTAGCTACTCAGGGGGCTGAGATCTGAAGATTGTAGTTCAAAGCCAGCCCAGACAAGAAAGTTCATGAAAATCTTATCTCCAATAAACCATCAGAAAACCGGAAGTGGCACTATAGCTCAAGTAGTAGAGCGGTAACCTCGAGCTGAAGAGTTCAGGGACAGCACTCAGGCCCAAGGCTCAAGCCCCATGACCAACACAATAAAAATAAAATAAAGACACAAGTTTTGCGTTTTTTTCTTTTTACTGAATTAACAAGAAATACCACTTTTATATACTGCATTTGCACTTGAAAGGCAGTTTTGTTTTTGTCTTGCCAATTATGGGGCTTTAAGTCCCAGCCTGGGCACTGGCCCTGAGCTCTTCAGCTCAAAGTGAGCACTCTACCACTTGAGCCATAGCACTACTCCGTTTTCTGGTGGTTAATTACAGATAAGAATCACAGACTTTCCTGCACAGGCTGGCTTTGAACCATGATCCTGAGATCTCAGCTAAGATTTCAGGCGTGAGCAACCATTGCTTGATCCACTGTCCTTTACAGATAAAAAAGAACCTATGAAAGCCTTATAAACATGACTGAACTTTGGTCTACTGTAGTAGATAGAGTTGGGGGAAAAAAATGCCTGCACTGCAAACTCCAATGAATCTTAAACCCGAGGAATATATGTCTGCATAAACTGTTAACTGTCTCCCTTGCTGCTGTATTAAAAAAGTGAAGCATAAAACATCAAGTAGCTGGACTTTCAGAACTAAGCATTAGAATTTCGGTATTTCATACTAGATCTACCCTTAAGACAGCTGGATGCTACCTGGCACTATGACAAAAATGGGATTAGGGCTGCAATTAGAGGGGGCAAAGGTGAAGAGGTTAAGAAAGACTTGGCTAAGTACAAGATCATTCTAAGGAAGCTACATGCATAATCCTCACAATGTTTTAGAAAAGAGAGAGCAAATGCTTTTCCTATTTTCACTGAACTCTGAGGCAGAGTTCAGTAAAAAGATTACACTAGAAAAACAATTTTAACAGTGTATGTTGATAGACATGACGAGACAAATGTATTTAGCACAATCTAAAGATTTTGTGGAGGCCGCTGCAACAAAACAAGGAATTTGAAGTAAATAGTTATAAAATACAAAAATAAAAAACCAGGTGTTTTTTTTTCTCCAAATTCCTGGTTTAATAAGGGCTTGTTTATTTTTTGAGAAAAAAATGTCCCAAACATCAGGCTGTTCACAAAAATAACCCACAGTATCAACTTTAGAAAACAAATATTAAGACTAGTACACTAATTATTTTTCTAAAGGATGCATCTGACATGCCAACTCTCATTCACAAAAATACATTGTTACATTTCTGTTTAACATCCCCACACAGCACTCTCATGTGGGGCATGACACAAAGATTTCTAACTTAAAGCTGCTATCCAGTGCTACAACTAAATGCATGAGATTGCCTTGGCAGTTAGGGAAGCAAATACTAAAATTTTGTATGAATGGAAAGAACTGTACTCCCTGCATAACAAGAGATTATTTTGGAGACAGTTGATAAAAACCATACATCCTTTTTATTGTTAAGTCATAAAGAGGTATCAAAATTAAAAGCAAAAATTACAGGGTAAGACTTAACAAAACTATCAGGAGCATCAAAGGAAGTGAAAATGGAACTAGGCACAGGGCAATATGAATTAATGAACATGGGAAGGACAAGGATAGAGAGAACAGTGAGCATGTGCTGAAGATACTAGGGGAGAGGATCTGGTGAAATTTTGATCTTAAGACATGCGCCTAGGTAAAGAAATAATGGGATAAGATCCCTAAGCCCCACTATGTGCTTAAGAGTCATCCTCGCCATTGGCGCTGTCTCTGTCATCCTCTCCTTCCTCAGCCTCTTTTTCATCATCCTTGATCAACTCCAGCTGGTCTTCCCCCCGATCTTCATTATCATCATCATCCAGTAGGTCCCCCTCCTCAGCAGAATCATCTGCACCCCCCTCAGACTCCATCTTGACATTAGTCTCATCTTTCTTCAGGGAGCTGCTGCTCTGTTCTTCTTCTGACTTCTCATTCTTCACTTCGACTGCTTGTTTGCTCTGCTCCTTTTCAATTTTTTCCAGGCTGTCCAGCAAAGAATCCACTTTTTGTTTAATCTGGGTCAGTTCTTTCTTAATGGCTTGAAGATCATCACCTTTCAACTTTCCAGACTTGGAAGAAGATCGTCGCTGTCCACTCTTAGAATTGAAGCCACTTTTGCCCCTGCGTGAGGTGTTTCCTGATACACGCTGACGTTTAGAGGGCACCACAGCCCGAGCAATAGGAGGCGGTGGCGGCACACGTGCTGGATAACTGTACATCCTGTCATAATAATCTCGTTGAAAGTCATAGTCCAACTCAAATGAGGAGCCGTACATCTCCGCTGCAGATCGTTTCACACCTGCTTTTCCTCGATTCACTTTTGGCTCTGCAGCCAGATTAATATCTAAAACCTGGCCAGCAATCATTCTGCCATCCTCGCCTGCTACAGCAGCCCGAGCATTTCTCTCATTAACATACTGCACAAAGGCGAAGCCCTTATGAACAGAGCAGCCCACAATTTTCCCATACTTCGAGAAGATTGCTTCCACATCAGACTTCTTGACCACAAGGGTATTGAGATTCCCAATGAATACACGGGAGTTCATGGAACGAGGATCTGTCTTGTTGGTAACATTGCTAGCCATTGTGTCTGATAGTCTGGCTCCTCACAAAGCTGAAGGCGGGAGGGAAAAGAGATTCTATTCGAATCTCCTACTCCCAGGTTCTGTGAGAAGTCGACTGCTCCTCGAGGTCGGCAACGAGGATACAACCGTCCAGTCTTCGCCTCTTCAAAAAATGCTTGGGGTTATTTCTATCCTCATTTCCAAAGTGTCTACTGAAGTATCTTATTAATTTTTGCTTGGTGTCTTGCTTGTCATTTGATTATGGAGTTATAGAAGTTGTTTATATAATTCCAGCTGCAAATCCTGAAGGCATATAAATGTATCACAAGCATTTTCAAAAGAACTTTTCTTAAAAAAAAAAAAAAAAAAAAAAGCTCCTTCTGGGGATGGGTATACCTCTGAGGAAGAAAAAAAGGTACAGAGCAGTTTACTTTTATGAAACACTTACAAACCTTGATGAATTCTCTTTTTAACCTTTTATTTAGGATTATCACAACTATGGCCCTAGGAAAACACTTTGGCTCATGATTCTCTTTTCTTTTACTACCTATGTTTGTTTGTGCCATAACATTTTTGCTATATTACTGGTATTAGTCCACTATGGATGTATAAAAAGTATTCCAACTCTTAGCATTTTAAACCCATAAACCTTATCTCATAGTTTGAAGGTCAGAAATCCAGGAGTACCTTAGCTTGATACAACTGGGTGAAGGTTTCCCATGAGGTCAAGTCATTGCAAGATGGCTAGGTTCGTTCATGTGCTTGTTAGTAGGCCTCAAAGACATAGATAGTTCCTCATGCTGTGGGCCACTCCTCAGTTGACTTGAGTGCCCTTCTGAGCACAGAGAGACTGAGCATGCTCCTCCAAAGGAAGCTCAAGTGGCAAGCTTTTGCCACCTAATCTCACAAAGGTGCTAACCATCACTCCTACAAGGTCCCATTGGTCCAACAGACCAATGGTGGGAAAATGTGGGTGGGGACTCCACAAGGCTGTGAAGGCCTCGTGGTGAAGGTCCCTGGGGTCCAGTTGGGAGGGGAACCACCCCACCCATGGAATAACTGAGATGGTTCTCCTGCTTTTTCCTCTTCTCTGAAATAATTAACACATCCTGCTGCTGTTATGAGAGCCCTGGTAAACAGTAGTCAGGAATATTTTCTTAATTTAGTGACTATTTCCAAGAAATGATCAATGTATAAGTTTCTTTTTATCTTTCAATGATGGTGGTGGTGGTGATGATCTAACCAAATAGTCTCTTTCCTCTAGAATGGAATGGTACAGAGAAAAGTGTGGGGAAAGACTCTTGGCTATTCCCTGACTGTAAAAGTCTGGCTGTTCTTGTCCTTGCTCTAGGGAGCCACGAACAACATAAGCTTCAAGCAATACCAGCCAACAGCGTGTCACAAACATGACTCACCATGGCAATATTCTTATTTGAAGATAGGCAAGATGCTATCTTGGGGGAAAATACAGAAATGATAACTTCATAATCTCCCAGGAGGCATCATAGGGCTACAATGTGTGATAATGTCCTGTGGCTACACCACTGCTATTCATTATACAAATATTGCATCTTCTAATCATCTAAATCTTGGGAGGGGGGAAGTGATTTTGCTGCCATTTTTCAGATTAAGAAATGATAAGAGGTAGTACTGCTAGACTCATGATATAAACTCAAGGCCATCCAACCCTGAAAATTCCATCCTTCCACTCCATATATGTAGAAGGGAGGCCTCTTAATCCAAGCCTTCCCTCACTGCCTCTCACCCTACCCATACCTCAATGAATCACAGATACAATAGGAAGAGCATTTATTTGCTTGTTTGTTTATTTATGCACTGATTATCCATATTTCCAAAACGCCTCCTATGTGCCAAGCACTTGCAGAAACAAGATATTGGTGATAGAAACAAAGTATTCTTCAAAGGATCAAGCTTAGGATCAGAGAAGTAATTCCCAGACCCCACAAATCCACCGCCTCCTCCAAATAATGGGAATCAAGCTGCAATTAAAAAAAATAGATAAGGAAAAAAAGAATCAGATAAGAACTTTAGCATAAAGAACCAACCAAATCATTTCCCACAAAGAAGCCATCGAGATAGAGAGAAATAATAAGGTAGCAATGTGGCAAAACAGTTTTGGTATCAGGAGACTGACTTCAAGTCTTATTTTCACTGTAAAACTGAGAACACTGAACTAGATTGTCCTGAAATCCCACTCATTCTTTGAGGTTTGACCCAGGGTAGCATGACATAAATAACCCGAACAGCAAATACTTAGTATATATTGTGCTTTACAAAACACTGCATTATGTCTACTTTGCAGATAAGGGAACTGAGACGAAGAAGGGCTCTTTGTTTAATGAGCTGGAATAGAACCAAAGCCACAGGTGATCCCCTGGAAATCCCTGCCCAGAAACCTAGGGGAGTGCAATTGAATAACAAAGGTGCAAATCAGAGGCTCTGCATAGGGCAGGAGTCTCTCTACTCAAGTGTCTAGACTTCCACAGGGCTGAGTCTGAGAAGGAAGAGAGGAGGAGGGCTATCAATCAGTCCCAGCTCCCTCCTTACCTGACAAAGGAAGAACACAGGCTTTCCCACACATGCCTGGGCAGCACTTGTAGTTTCGCTCGCACTGGCTATCGGTCTCACAGAGGTTGGGAGGGTTAAGCATCAAACAATGAGCATCAACCACTGGGCACCTTCCAGACTTCTTATTTACTGGAGAGAGTAGAGCCACAAGTCAGAAGCCTTTACTGTTATAGAGCCCCACTCTGCTTCTTAGACCCAATCTCTATTGCACTCTGAGCAAGGAGGAACATGTCCTTCTCCTGTCCCCAGCAATACCACATCCTCTTAGCTAAAGCATCCCTTGAAATAGCACTTGGTTTCCATCAGAGCATATGGTCCTCGGCTGATACTGGTGACTAGCTGTTTAGTGCTGACTAGGTGAGCACTTAGCTATCTGAGGCACATATGATTTCCTGGAAGGCCATCCCGAGAGGCTAGCTGCTTCAGCCCAGGGGCTAACTGGCTCCACAAGGCAGCATGATGCCTTGAATGCCTGATACACTGGGATGGATAGCTTTTGGGAATGAAGAGGCCTGGAAAGACCTCTTCGTCTAGTCTTACGCCCCCAGATGCTGGGTCTTGAGGCTCCTTCCTCTCCACCTGGCTCTTCTACTAGCTCACCTGGTTTCGAGATGTCAACAGGATTTAGACATTTAATGCCACAATAGTCACGGCAACATTTCTGCTTGCCTGGACACTGCCAGTCAGACTTGCACTTGGGTTTCTCAAAGACAAGGCAATTGGCAGGTCTTCTAGAAGGGCAGGCTCCAGCTTTTACAGCTCCTGAAGAGAAGATCAAGAAGACGGAAGAGGGCTAGGTGCTTTGTAGTGACCATGAGTCTTGAATAAAGTACAACTTTCCAGGAAGGAGTGTCACCCTGGAGGCACAACCACAGATTTAAAGGGAAACGCCTGCCCCACCAGAAAAAGTGACAGACTGGCTCAAAACAGACATATGGGCAGAAAAAAAGTCATAAACTTAGGCTTCTAGTAAAAGACCTTTCACCCCAGGGCAAAAGCAAGATTATACAAAATCGTAGGGGAAGGTGGGAAGAGATACCTCTCAAGAGAAAGAAACAAAGCTGGGCACCTAGCTACTTAAGAGGCTGAGATCTGAGAACTGTGCTTCAAAGCCAGCCCAGGCAGGAAAGTTTGTGAGAGTCTTGTCTACGTTAAACCACCAGAAAACTGGAAGTGGTGTTGTGGCTCAAAGTAGTAGAGCAATCGCCTTGAGCTGGAGAGCTCAGGGACAATGCCCAGGCCCAGAGTTCAAACCCCAGGACTGACAAAAAAAAAAAAAAGATAAATAGAACCAGCAGAGGAAATGTAATCTGAAGCCAAAGACAGTGATGCAAAGACTAAAGGACAGGAACACAGAGAGAAAGGAAAAGGAGATGGTAATGGAGAGAGTGGAGGAGAGGACAGACCTGGCTTCATGGGGAAGCACTTCCACGAGCTCAGAACCCGTAGGGTAGGACATGTGTCCTACCTTAGCTTAGAGACATTATCTACATTATCTGCAGACACTCCCCATCACCATCAGGAGCCTCCAAATGCAAAGATTGGACTGGAGTCCAACTCACCCTTTTCAGAACCTTCCACAACCCAGGATGCTAGGATTCCCAGGGCAAAAAGCACCACCACAAGGAGGAGGCTGCTGGACTTCATGATGGAGGCTGGGTGGTTCTAATGACCAGTAAACCTCAGTATTTATACCTTGACTAGTGGGTGTGGCCCCAGCGGGACCTAAAACCCCAAAGGGTTTTAGCCCCTCCCTTTTGCTATTGCTTACGCAAGAAGCTTAATTAAGACACCGGATATCTTGCAATAAGGAAGGTAGTATTGGAATCCTTTTCATTTCAGGCAGCCTTACAAGGCCAAATGAGCAGTTGTCAGTGAAGGACTAAAAGGGGTCGGCTTGGCAGGTACCATTTTTCAAGACAGCTGTGTGAGCCCTAAACATGGCAAAGGTTTCCAGCCCGGCGGATAAAGGGCAGTAAGTGTCCATCACAAAGGGCCCACGTAGAGCCGGCACTGAAACAGGAGACTGGGAGTCTCGGCTGAGACTGTGTGTAATACATCCCTCCTTCTCACGGAATATTCCCGGACTCTCCAGGATTGTGAAATGCCTTCCTGATTGCTTAATGCACATCCATTTTCAAAAGTACATGTGTTATATCACTGACCCAACAGATATTTAGTTCCCACACCAAACTGCACCGTTACATCCCAGTGCCTATCTGCTCACTGAACCATGGAAAGAACTACCTAAACCAAGGAAAGACATGCAAGAAGAGCCTTCAGTAAATCTCTTTGGAGTTCAGTTCCCCACTTGTGAAATGGGATGATACAGTCAGCCCTTCTTGTGGAGTTATGACATTAAGAGTGTGAATAGACTCCAAAAAAATAAAGGCATTGTGCCCCCTTGCCACAGAAAGAAAATGGAAACATTTATGAGAGAAAGGGACAAACTACTCACCAGCCACTGTCATCAGCACTGAGCTAGGGTATGATGTTAGAGGCGTAATATGGAGTGGACGAAGGAGGAATACTTCCAGTCCCTAAATCCTCTACAGGTATCAGATAAGAGCAAAAACATAATGGCTGCCATGTATTAAAACTATTCTGAGTGCTATCCATTCTACACACATTGTGTCTCATTCCTGGAGACAGTCATTCTCTCTAGAACCCAGACTCCTCCAATTGCAAAGCCCACAATCATGTCACTATCATGGGACCTCTTAAGGCTTGGCATTCTGCCTTTCACTGATCAAATAGCAGATTTGTGGCAATTCAAACATGAAAGCAATAATGATGGTTCCACATGAATTTATTTAGTATTCTCCAGTCGGCTGGCAACAGACACTTGCATGCAGAAACCATTCAATGGTTTAGATTTTTGTAGGGATTGAAGAAGGAAAGAATTCTAGACACTGGGTAACTGTAGCGAACCTACTGTACTCTCTCCTAGCTGAAGAACTATACAGGAGGGGAGGAAAGAGAGGAAGGGAAGGGTCTGACTTGCAGCAGTGGCAAAGCACTGTCAGGTTTTTGTCCTCACTTCCTCTAACCAGGGCTTGGTTTGATTTTGCCCACCTAGCTCCCACACTACCCACCCATTGTTTTTCCCTATCCTTTTCAATGCCAAAAAGGTGTCTGGCATCATCTAAATATTTATTTCTTAAAGAGGAAAAAAAGAATGCTACTGCTAGTTTTTGATGTGATTGATGACTGGTGATTGATTGATTAAAAACCAACTCTTTCTCTTCAGGACAGAGCTCAGTGATCAACTAGATATATCTTCAGTGGGTAACCAGAGGAGGATAATGATGAATTTCTATTCATGACACTATTGACACTGAATCTTTAAGATTACAGAGTATCTCAGAGGTTATAGCGGACCAAACCCAGCAGGCTCCTTACCTATATACACGAAGTTGTATTGGAACATAGGCACGTGTATGTACGTCCATTCATTTCTCCATTGTCTTTGGCTGTTTTGCCACTACAGCAGCAGAATGGAATAGTCACAATAGAGACCAGAAGTATTCACTACAAAGCTTGAAATATTTCCTGTCTAGTCCTTTACAGAAAATATTTGCTGGTCCCTGATCTAGACCAAACCTCCAGCTTGCAATAAAAGAGACTGAATCCCTCAGAGAAGGTATGAGTCCAAAGTTACATTACATATTAATTATACAACATAAGAGTGAAATTTTCTCAAACAGGTGAGTCACCTGACAGGTGTTGATTCTCAGAACCTGTTTTTGCATTGGACATACATTCTTAGCTGGATCTCAACCTGAGGTTGACTCACTAAATCTACTTCACATGCTCTCTACTACCTTCTACCAAGTCATATAGATTAATATGTTCATGCATGCACAAATTACTTAATAATGTCTTGCCACTTGCCAAGGCATTGTGCTAGGCACTGAGTGTACAACAAATAGGATGCACAAAGCCAATACCACATGGTTGGTATAAAAAAAAACAACGATTTACTTGACTAAGTCTGAATTAGAAGAAAACCACTGAAACTTTCTGATCTTCAGTTACCTTATCTGCAAATGAAAGCCTTGCTTTCTCTTGTATCATACCCACGTCGGGAGGAGTGTTTGCCAAGTACTCAGCATAGGATCTGGTCCTATCAACCCAACAGACATTGTTTTTAACCGCACACACTTCCTGCATTCCCGAGGCACACAGGTTGCTGTCATCTACAGGCTCAAGCTTGGGTCTAGACCCAATCTACTCTGCCCCATTAAATGCTTTACAGAATCAGACTCCATTCATATTCTGTTATTTGCTTGTTTGGTCTAGAGATCTCTGGCTATGATAACCTTCTTATCTATTGTTTCTAGTACCACTTTGTTAATGCTAGTTACATCATTCCTTCAGGCCTCTGAACAGTGATGTCCAGGGATCTTTGTGTGATTCTTCCTCACTATCCACCATTTTGAGGTCAGGAAGGGGAACTTGGCAACAGGTGGCACACCAAGTATCAGGAGACCCAGGCACGAAGAAGGGCTACATTCTCTCCAGAAGCATCCACATACCTTTGGTAGAACAATAGTCAGTGAATTTTTAAAAGCCCCACGGTAGTTATGAGTGTTTTGGGTGTGACCTATAATCGCAGCACTCAAAAGGCTAAGTAAGGTATGCCTAGGCAGCATAGCAGGTTCCATCCAGACCAGCTGACTTCCAAAGGGAGACCCTGTCTCAGAACAAATGAGTAACATAAAAATTTTAAACATGGAAGATCTAGGGGTGGGATGCGGGAAGACTAAAGGAGGAAATATAGTCACTGGATACCATGTTGAAAATGAACTGTACAATTTGTTTCATTACGTGGCCTCTATAAAGGGGTGACACTATTGAAAAGAGAATGTACTCTTTACCTGATTTATATTACTGTAACCCCACTGCGCATCACCTTTATAATAATAATAATAAAATGTTAAGAAGGAAACAACTTTTTATCTTAAACAACATTTTCCTTGAACAAGGGACTTTGCATTTTTCATTTTGCCCTGGACCGCACAAATGATGTAGCCAGCACTGCGGGGCTCACGCTTCATTCACACAGGAACAGCCCTGTCTTTTTCCATCATCTTTCAGGACTGACCCTGGCCGAGTACCTGTCAATCATAGGCAAAAAAAAAAAAAAAAGAAAGAAAAGAACAGAAAAATTAAGGAAAGTGAATGGAAAGTTCTGATGGTTGATGGGTCATGGTCTAGAAAGTTCTGGGGGGAAGAGACAGAGATAGAAGACAGGATAGCCACACCCACCCACCAGGAATCTGCTGGGTGACTGCCTTGGATGTTGGCAGTGGGGGAGAGGTCAAGAGTGGGGGGAAATACCACAATAGAAAGAAAGGAAGCACTTTATTAAAAATGAACTATGCAGCTTTTGGGTGGGGATGGGAGGGAAAAGCTGAGAAAGAGCAAGGGAAGGGAAGGTATACTCTTCACCTGACTTGTGTAACTGTAACTCCTTTGTACATCACCTTTATAATAGCAATAAAAA